TTTGCGAGATCAGTAAAAGAAAAATCCGCGTATAAGAACCTACATATTTTAAAGTCGGGCAAAATAGGCTCAAATGTTTATCATAATTTAGCTGTAACGCACATATAAGAACCTGCTTATCTTGCTTGGCTTAACAGGTTCTCGCATTTTTGGGTATTGTAATGGCAAATTTCTGCCGGGAGGTTCTTAAACCACTAGGTTCTTACACGCGGGTTTTTTATTGTATTGGCCTAGCAAATTACAATGTCTTCCTGTTTCGTCTGAAGTATTTGAGAAGTATTATTGACTGTAGTCTATAAACAGGAAAATGCAAGGCTTGAAAATTGAAACAGGCACACTTTGTTCCTGCAGTCTCTCCGCCAGTTAGCACATTTTTATAATTTACTTTATAGATAGATACAACCGCAGATCTTGATTTCGGCAACGGGGAAAATGCTGTGCGCTAATATACTTGTTTTCCTAAAGTAAAACTAGCAGCTGTTCATAAAGCAGTGCATTATGATTAGACACATTAAGTATAAACAATTAACACGTTCATAAAGCGYAATTGAATGGAGCGGTAGTCAACATATACGTGTTATTGACCAAGGTAGTTTGGTCAAGATGGCTGGATATTGGCCAAGTTCGTTTTTTTTTTTGCGTGTTTACGGACCGAGACGGAGCTTGGTCAGTAAAGAATTTCGGGGAAATTTCTCTTGCGGGATACACCGGGTGGTCTCGAACTGGCAAGATAGAGCCATCTTGCCCGCGCGGGTAGCCAATCACAGCGAAGGAATTGGTTCATCTTGCCGGCTCACGGAGCGAGCCATATAATATGGTGATTTATTATCAGGCCAAGTTCTTTTTAAGTATTTTTTGGATTCACGCAGAGTCGAGTAAGCATGCTATTGTTGACGCAACTTGTAGGGGAATTAGCCGTCATTCCAACTTGCACTCGTTAAACTTGGTTACTTGAATTTATTTCTCAACTCTTCAGTTCAACGACTCTAGTAACTTCTTACAACTTCTTACAACTTCTTACAACTTCTGACAGCTGCACAACTGATTGCAACAACTGCGGTCAATTCATTTCACACATCCCTGTCATACTGTCAACTTTTAATTTTACGCTAATGCCGGTAATAACATGCGCAGTTGGCATGGAATACTGCGACCGCGTTCAAAGCTATTTAGCATATTTTCCTTCGAGGTCATACGCAGTGACGAAAAGATTTCCTACTCATATTTCCACGATCTAGTTCTAGGTGGTCGACCAAAATAAAGCAAAGTGAGGAAAATATAAGGCAGAATATTGTTTCCATTTATTAAAACCAGAGGCATATAACCCCGAAAGGGATTATCTGCTTTTCACAACAACTGCAGAAATTCTCGCGCGCTGATTGGCTAATTTTCATTGTCAATAAGCAGACAGACACATGAATATGTAATCTATGTGATGCTGACGCAACGAGCGAGAGCAGAAAAATTGACAAAATAGTCTGCAGATCCACTCGGCTATCGCTTCGCGGATCCACAGCTACTTTGACAATGTTAGGACCAAAATCATGATCAATAAGAGCACAAAAGCGTGAAAAAACTGACGTCAAGAAAAGTTGTTGTCAAAAATTCCTTACAGCGTAAGTGTTACAAGTCAAGATTGCAAAATCCCAGCTTCGTGGGTTGGCCTCTCTCAGATTCTGGCATGGGC